TGACAGATCTTATTATTCCCCTGGCAGAGGGGGAAACTGAGGCACCCACAGGGAAAGTCACTCTTCAGAGGTCACTCGAGATTCTGACTCCCCGGTCCAGGCTCTCCAGCCACATCCCTCCTCTGCCCCCGTATTTCCACCAAGAAAAATGACGTGAGCATAAAGGGGTCTGACAGCATGCCTCCAAGCTCCGATGTCCCCTGAGTCTCTCTGCTGTGCCAGCCCTGAGTTCAGGGGCTACGAACTCTAGCGACTTCAGGGCCCAGACAAGACACACTGCTGATGAAGGCGGCTGGGGTCGGGGGCGGCGGAGGCGGAGGAGGGGTGGGCAGCGGGGAGTGAGGTGGACGCAGTGAACTGGAAAGCCCTGGAGTTTCAACTTTACACCAGCACATGGCTGCCTTGGGAAAATGAGGGTCTCATATTTTCAAGGTTTTCAGGAAAAAATCCAGACATTTTATGTGAAATCTGTGTATTTTTTTAATATAGTGGAAGATGAGAGTCTTTTTATTTTAGTGATAAATGAAATAAATCGATAATGTGCTATGCTGGCATCCTGGATTCAATATTCCATTTCCCCAGTGAGTTCAAATACCACCTTTGTGATAGTTCTTCCCACCGTTCTTCTATTTCATATTTTTCCTTGTAAACTACAAAATGAATTTATCCAATTAAAGAAATCCTGTGGGTCAGTACTTGAAATTGCATTCGGTTTATATATGTTGGCACAATTGTCATTTGAAAGATGTGAAGTCTTCCCACCTATTTTATTCTCATCTTATTTCCTGCCCTTTGGGAAGATATTTTAGTTTTCTTCCAAAGTCTCTTGATTTTTAAATGATGGCAAAACTCCTAGATGTTGGAACTGCATGGCCTAAATAAGACCTCTCCTGTGTGGGCTGCGTCTGGCCCAGGGCCCCCTTTTGCCCCCTGAGATTCTGGCAGTCTCACCCCAGGGGGTTGGGGTGGTGGGGGCTGAACATGCTGTCATTCAAAGATAACTCTGTCCCAGGCGGAGAGATCTCCGGGGCCAGGGAACTCGGATCAGGCTGGGCTGAGAAACTGGGATGTTCACCCCTTGACACGCCCCGAGGAAAGGCAGGGTACCCACTTCCTGCACGTCCAGCCAGATAAGCCTGCAGAGGCGATCCTTCCCTGCAGGGGCTCCGGCCAGTTCACTTTTGACCAGCTCTTAAAAAAGCAATTAAAAGTAATCCAGATGGTTTGGTTTTTAAAAAGAAAATTTTAAAAATAAGAAGAAAACACAGTTAGTTGGTCCAGGAGTATCTACTGAGGCCCGCTAATGCCAGGCACTGCTCCAGGAGCTGTAGATGCGGTTCCCACTTCGTAGAGTTTACGCTCTAATAGGAAACACAGGCCATGAACCCAGAAACAGATGGAAAACCAAGGTACACGCCAGTGGTGACAGGTGCATGAAGAGATGAAGGTGATGGGAGGCGGGAGAGTCCGTGTAGAAGGGCCCAGGGGTAGCCTCTCGGCGGACGTGCCACTTTGCTGAGACCCGAGTGATGGAAAAGGGACAGATGGGAATCAGTCTCCCTGGTACTTCTGACACCCAGGAAAACCTCTGTGACTTCTGGGTGAATCTCCTGCCAAACCGTTATTTATACAGTTAAAAAAAATTTTTTTTTAAATTTCCATTTTACACATTTACATTTTCTAAAAACCAAAAGTGGCCACAGAGTGTTTTAGAACCACCTTCTTATCCTACTCAAAGTCTCAGTCTCCCATCTACAAACCAGTTGATCTCAGTAGCTACCCCACGTGAGGGTGAAGCAGGTAGCTGTGAAGACTACTACCCAAGAAAATGGCCTGTGGCAGATGATTGCCATTATTGCTAATTTTTTAAAGTCACTTTTCAAGAGCAGCCCTGAGAGGTGGAGACCATCATCTCCATATCACAGGGGCGAGTGTAAAGGCTGAGATGAGAGCTGGCTGGGGAGAGAGCAGGACGCCATTCCCACCCCCACCCCGGCCCCAGACTCTGCACCGTGAAACCTCAAGCAGATAGAGCCCCTTCCTCCCCAGAGAGGAAGCCGAGGCTGAACCCAGGGACTTCTTTTCAGTTGTTTTTTTCCTCTATGTGATGTCGTTCGTTTTTTATGAATATCGCACTTATCTGATGTCACAGGTTGGGGGAATCCAAACCACAGACACAAATACGCCGTGTTATTCTTTGAAGGATTGTGCGGTGAGATAAGGGTGCTTGGCACGGCGGGGCGGTGGTGGGGCCGGGGTCGGGTACAGCGTGCAAAGAGCCGTGGTTTGTTTTTGCAGAACTAGGAGCGTCAGTGTTTGTTCTAGGGTTCGGAGCCGTCAGCATCTTTGGTGGGAGCTTGGTCACCGGTCACCGTCACCTGGGCCACGCTGGGTGTGCTCGGCGCTCACCCTGCCCCGGTGCGGCCAGAACAGCAGGTGGCGGGCGCAGGGGAAACCCAGAGGTACCATCGGGACCACAGCCTCAGCATCTCCTGCGAATGTGGCTGAAAGGGCTGCTGGCCCAGCGGTGCCTGAGGCCAACACACGCCGCTCCCTCCCATCTTCTGGCAGATTCTGAGTTAACTCGAAAATCCTGTTTGGTTTCCCTGTGCTTTTTGAGACTGTCACTCGGACACCTGAATTCCCTCTGTGACCTAAGTGTCATGAGGCCTGCAAAACCCTGCTTCCTCCCTGGCCCCCAGGCGGACTCTAATCCACAGGCAGTCAGTGAGGTGCTATGAAAATCCAAGTCAGGTCACACCCCTCCTCTTCTCAGAATCCCCCTATGGCTTCCACTGCACCCAGGGTCGATGCCAGGGGCTCCAGGCAGGCTGCAAGGCTCTGTCTGACTTCCCCTTTCCACCCCACTCCTTCACCCCCCACCCCCCACCCCCCGCACTGGCCTCCGCCTAGCCCCTTTGGGCCTCAGGGCCTTTGCATTTACAGCTCCCTCACTTCCCTGACTGCGATACATTCTCATCAGAGAGACTGTCCCCGACTCCCACCAAAACGGTGTCCCTTCCCCAAAATATCTACCCTTCACCCAGCTTTATGTTTCTTCCTAGCTCTTTGTCACTACCTGACACGTCAGATACGTATTCTTTTGTTCACTGTCATTGGACCTAAGTTCCTGGGGACGTCTGTCTTTCTCTGGCGCCTAGAAACTTCCTGGCACACTGAGTAAGCTCAATCATTTCTCCTCTTATGCAAATGAATGCAAGAATCTTGGAGCCACTTGGAAGTAAGCCCAGTGTTACGTGGCAGCTGGGATGGGAGGGGATACTGAGGGAGAATAGATACATGTATGTGTATGGCTGAGTCCCTTCACGGTTCACCTGAAACTATCACGAGATTGTTAATAGGCTATACCCCAATACAAAATAAAAAGTTTTTTAAAAAAAGGAATCTTGGAGCCAACTACTACAGACCAACGGGTTTAGCTCAGGTCTCTAGGACAATGAAAATCGTAAAGGAATTTAGTCATTTTTTTCTAACTTGGCTTTTAAATTTTTTAAAAAATACATTATCTTTTGGCTACACCATGAGGCATGTAGGATCTTAGTTCCCCAACCAGGGATTGAACCCACATCCCCTGCATTGCAAGCATAGAGTCTTAACCACTGGACCACCAGGGAAGTCCCCATAAAGGATTTTAAAGTGGGAACTTCGATCGATTGGTTTGTGAATGATCACTGAAGCTTCTAAGAGAGGCCACATGTGGCCTCTAACTGTGGGACACACACCTCGGCGGGGAGGATTGCTGGATTGTGTTGTGTGAAATATAGACGGTACCAGGCCCTCCTTCATCTCAGGGGTTAAATCAGATGATATAGGTATGACGTTCAGTCCTGTGCTTGGCACATGGTAAGTGCTCAGCAAACGGTTGTTCTAAGTACCAATGATAGCAGAAAGGAGAACATGGAGACAGGTTCCTGGATCGAGTGACGGCACAGATGGGCCTGCTCGATCCTGAGAGTAAAGGAGGAAGTGTGGGGTGTGGTTGAGGCCGAGGGCACCAGGGTCTGAGTGGGAAAGAGCTGAGAGTCCGTGAGACGTCTCAGTGAACACGCCCACGTGGCAGGTGGACTCAGGAGAAATGCCAGGCCTGAGTCTACAGATTTGGGGATTATTCATGCAAAGCTGGTAACTGAAGACCCGGGGCTGGCCCTAAGTCAGTGGGCACGTGCAGAAAAGGAGTAGAGGTGACCAGAGAACCTTCGGGACCCCCGGTGCCCCTCTTCTGCTCAGGGCTTTGCCCTGAGGCCCAACCTAGCTCCTCAGGCTGGACAGGGAGTTCTCTTCTTGAGAACATGGAGTGAGAGCGCCCTCAAGTTAAAGAGGGTTCTCAGCCAGGCAGAAGAGGTGATGATGGCTGCGGTTGGGCAGCTGATAAGGTCTGCCTCACCTCTATTGACCAGAGATTTTTTTATCCATCCTCTCCTCTCCTCCCCTCACCGCAGTCTCATCCCCCTCCCACCGCAGGTATTAGTCACTTATAGGTACAATAATGCTACATAACAAACCACCCCAAACCTTTTATTCTCTTGAAGGTGGAGGGAAGAAGGGATACAGACAAGAAAACCCTAGGTGACACTGAAAAAGAGAAGTCAGTGAGGTAGGTAACCAACAAAGAGAAATGACATTGGGTCTGAGGAATTCTTCACGGTTCCCTGGATCCACGCCTCTTGACCTGTGACCTTGTGGTTCCTCCCACAAAAGGGGTGGAGCATATTCCCTCCTCCTTGACTAGAGTTCAGCCACATGATTGTTTTTGCCAACAGGATGAGATGAAAATGACAGCGTGTCCGTAGGAGACAAACCTTCAAGAGACCTTGCATTTCCATCTGGCTTTTATGCTTCTGCCACCACTGTACAGAGTCCGCCTGCAATGCAGGAGACCTGGGTTCCATCCCTGGGTTGGCAAGATCCCCTGGAGAAGAGAAAGGCTACCCACTCCAGTATTCTGGCCTGGAGAATTCCAGGGACCGTATAGTTTCTGGGGTCGCAAAGAGTCAGACACAACTTTCACTTTCACTTCACCACTGTAAGCAGACACACCTGGTAAAGTCTTTGGGTCCCAGAAGAAGGTGAGAGGTGTGTGAGGCAGGGCAGGGTCCTGTCCCTAGGCCAGCCTAGGTCAGCAGACCTCCAGCAGAACAGCCGGTAGGTGGATGGGGCCAGCCAAGATCAGCAGAACCACCCAGCCACGACCACACCGGGCCAGCTGACCTGCAACAACTCCATATTCGAAAGAATAAAATGTTTGGGGTGTTTGTTATGCAGAATCATCACAGCCGTGGATGATGATACCTGTGAGAACAAAAGGGAGATTGCAGTGAATTGAAAGAAGAGGATAGGATTTTTAAACTTCTGATTAATTGAGGTGTGGCGGACACTGTTGACTGTTCAGTTACAGCTATTGTCAACTCTTCTCATTGGCTGAAAGAAACCTCTTTTGTCTGAGGGGGCATTGGCCTGTGTACTTAAGTCGGGGTCACCCTCCCAGCCTGAGGAGGGAAATCAGGTCTCCGGACAGAGGCCCACACAGACAAGAGCAGAGTAGAAAAGGGGGAAAAGCACGTGTCCTGGATAATGTCTTTGAGTGTTTGTATTAACGTCTGTTGAACAACTTGTGGTAGATACTGCTTAGCATCTGCCCAATACCCACTCTCCCTTTTATCCTTATTTACAGGACCCTGATTTTATTGGGATGGCAGCCAGCCAGCTAAAAGCGCTCAGCCTCCTAAAGTCCCTGTGACAGCCAGGAGTGGCCACGTGATCCAGGTATGAGACATGAATAGTAAGCAAAACTTGCCAAGTGGGGCCCCTGCGGAAGGTTTTTAAAAAGAGACGAACATAATGGGCACTGTGCTCACCCGTCTTCTTCCTGGCTGCAGTGTAGGTATGAGCTGCAGATAGAATGGCCAGGTCGCAACCACGACCAACCATGAGGAGGACAAAATTCACATGTACAAGAAGGCCAAGCCAAAAAACAGAAAAGAACCTGGGCCCCTAGTGGCATCACTGAGGCATCCTATCAGCCCAAGATGCTTACTGCAGGACTTAGTAACAGGAGATGATAGAAACTTACCAGTGGTGAGATTGGTGTTACTTGCAGCTGAATGCGTGTCTGCTGGATCCACCCCCCTGCCTCTGGATTTCTAAACGCATGAGAAAATACATTTCCTTAATAATTAAGCATTTTGCACTGAATTTCCTGTCCTTGCAGTTGAATGCATCCTAGAGTATCCTGCATTTTGCAGTGAGGTGACTTCTGAAAACTGAGACATGCCTGATCTTGGACTTGACTGACAAGGGAGGGGGGCAGGGATCCCTCCCACGCCTGCTGGAGAATCAGAGGGTGAAAGAGAAGACTTCTGATGTCCAGGGCACCTTTCTGCCAGGACCAAAAGGACTAAGGCCTCGGGGTTTACTTCAGCTTCAGATTATCTGTGAAGAGTTCTTACTGACTGATTTGTCAGTTTGCTTACTTGTTTTTGAAGGAAGAAAGCTAAGGTTCAAGGAGACAAACTTACCACCTAAGGCTGTCAGCCAGAGCAAGGTCTGCCTGTCTCTGGGATCATCCTCTTTCCCCCCCTCCTTTCTGGACCCATGTCTTCTCATCAGTAGGATGAGATTAACTCAAGATCAAAGCTTTTCAAACATTTCATTTCAAAGTGGGCAAAACCCTTTTACAGCTGAACTCTTACTTGTTGTCCCACTCATAAAAAAAGATAAAAGAAGCTGCTTGTGGTGCGGCAGGTCAGGAGGCTGCAGGCTCCTCCCTGGGGCCCAGGGCCCGCTGGCATCTCACTGCCACCCCAGCTTTGCAGCAGGCTTTTGGGAAGCAGCAGCCCAGATTGTCCCAAGTTCTTCAGGAAAACCTGAGTCCAACAGGAGAGTCTCTGATCTTTCAAACATTGCTAACATGTATCGTGGAAGACAGTCACGCACACAGCAAAACAAAACCAAAACCAAAAGTTTTCTAACAGTGCAAATGGAACGAAAAGTCACCTCCCTCTCATCTCTGACTTGCCATTCTTTCCCGAAAATACAGAGCCTTGTCCTCTGAGAGATGATCTGTGTGTCTCCCAATAGATGTATGTACATATATTGTCCCATCTTGCCTTACAACACACAAACACACACACACACACACACACTATAGCATCCTATAATCACTTTGCATCTTACTTTTCTCAGTTAATGTTGCATCTTGGCAGTTTTTCCAAATCAGTACTCAGAGGTCTGCTTCATTCACTTCAGTGGTTACATGATACTGGAATACTATTTAATTTATTTGGCTAAAAAGACCCTTATTCTTGACTAGGACGTACAAATTACTGTGAAAGTGAAAGTGTTAGTCTCTCAGCTGTGTCTGATTCTTTGCGACCCCGTGGACTGTAGCCTGCCAGGCTCCTCTGTCCTTGGAATTCTCCAGGCAAGATAGTGGAGTGAGTTGCCATTTCCTCTTCCAGGGGATTTTCCTTACCCAGAGATCGAATCCAGGTCTCTTGCATTGCACACAGAGTGTTTACCATTTGATCCACCAGGGAAGCCCTACAAACTACTATGGATAGAATAAATAAGATATAAGGATATATCATACAGCCAGGGAATATAGACAATATTCTATAACAACTTTAAATGGAGTATAATGTACAGAAGTATTGAGTCTCTATATTGTATACCTGAAACTAATGTCATATTGTAAATCAACTATATTTTAATTAAAACAAAAATAAGAAAAGGAAAAAACAAAGAAATGGGATACTAAAAACAAACAAAATTTTCCTCTTTTTGGATACTCAGGTTGCTTCCAGTCTTTTACTGTGTTAAAGAATCCTGCACTTTAGGTGGGAGGTGGGAGAGAGGTTTAAAAATGAGGGGACATATGTATACCTATAGGAGATTTATGTTGATGTGTGGCAGAAAGAAACACAATATTGTAAAGCAATTATCCTTCAAATAAAAATCAAACATTAAAAAAAAAGAATCTTGCAATGAAGATCTTTAGTTCTTTATGTATGCCTCTTGGTATACACATACTAATTTAGATACTTGGTCTCACACGTGCACGCTGTCTCTTTCCTTCTCTCTCTGCTTTTTTGGTTTATTTTTTGCTTATTTATGTTTTCCAATTTCTATTCTATGAGCATGTCTCATTTGTGGAATAATTAAAAGGATATGTTTATAGGTCCAGGCCTCAAGTTTCAGCCAAGTTAGATAAACAACCCCATGCATAAGCACAATTGAGAAAGGAAAAAAAAAATCAGGCTCAGCTGCTGAGGCCTGTTTGGCTGGAAGTCCGCATATCTGGAGAGCGGTGTGCCAAGGCGCAGCCCTGCGTGCTGCGACGCGTCCTGAGCGCGGGTCTGGGTTCTGGTTTCCACTGTGCCCTTAGCTCGCGGGTGACTCCAGGTAAGCCGCTGAGCCCAGCTGTGCTGTCGGGAGAGCGTGCATTTGGTGCCAGGCTCTGAGCTAAGTGCGATGTCGTGTCTGGGGAGGCTGGTGTTGTTATCCCTACAGCTCAGAGGAAGAGAAGAAGCTCGGGGAGATGAAGGACTTGCCAGTCTCCTCTAGGGCGGTCAAGGAACGACCCTCCATCCACTTCCTGCAAATATCGGGAGTTGGTCCTGCCTCCTCCCCACTTCCCGTGCAAATACCGGTTCACCTTCAAGGACCATCAGCTCTACCTTCAAAACATACGTGTGTCTCACTGAATCCTCACCACGCAGCTCTCTAGACCCTCCGTGATCTGTGCCACCTCCCTAGTTTCTCCTCCCACCCCCGCTCTTGCCTGGCTCTCTCTGCCCCCCTCACACTGGGCTTCACTCCCAACCTCAGGGCCTTTGGGCTTGCTCTTCTACTTGGATTCTTGTCCTTCCCCGCAGGTCCAGGACTAGGTTGAGGCAAGTGAGATTCTCAGGGTGAAAACGTTAAGGAGGTAACCTCCTGACCTGCCAACCGGGCCCCGAATGACCCCAGGACCAAGCCCCGCTCCCATTTGGAACCCTGGGTCACTGGTTTATCTCACCGGCACCCGGACCTGCTTCTCAGACTTGGTTCTTCTCATCACTGGGGTTTTGGCTTAAATGACCCCCTCCCATCCGAAAGACCCCCTTGATCATCTTAGTGGTGGGTATTCCCATCTCCCTCTAGCGTCCCACGCTGTCTCATTTTCATTGCTCCTCTTGCACAATCATTTGATCTGTGCCTATCTCTGCCCACCAGGTGATAAGCTCTGTGAGGACGGGAATTCACCCTCTGATACTATCCAGGATATTCTCGATATGCTCCCAGCATCCAGAACAGAGCCAGCATTCAGTTTATAACAGACTCGGTAAATAGCCCTGGGGTGAATGAATGAATGAGCCGGTTACAAGCAGAGTCATGATTCCACCCGGGTTTTCCTGCCTCCAAAGTCAGCCCTCCCATCCGCAGCTGAGACACAAGGTCCAGGGCTCCCATGCCTGTGGCTCATGTCACGGCCTGTCCTGATAGGAAGCCCAAGTCCCAAAGACAGGCTGCCGGAGGAAACTTCTAGGTGGGGCGGAGCTTGGCCGCAGTCACGGGGGCTGCTGTCAGCCTCAGGCCAGCTGTGCCCCACCCCCTCGCTCTAGTTTTTATTTTTAGAGGCGAGTTTTTGGGCACAGAGAACTCTCCTTAGGAAAAGCCCAGCAAGAGGACGAGGGAGGAGGTTTTGAAATCCGGTGGGAAAGTAGGTCAGGCCGGGGTGCTGGCGGGCATCCAGACGATAAGGCCTCTGTGGAAGTTTAATAACGTGAGCGGCCATATCCATGACATAATTCATAACTGAGAGGAAACAGCAATTAAGGGGCAATTGTGCAATGTGGGACAAGCCTCCTTCGCAGCTCATAAAAGCAGGAGGAGAGAGAGGTGATGCTGTCCCTCTGGGGCCACTGGGGGCTGGGCCGGCCGTCTGCGGGGACCGGGAGCCCAGTTTCAACACTGGGGGGTTTACACTCGTCTTGCCTCTCCCCCTCAGGCCTCAAGGAGCTGGGAGGAGGTGGAAGGCAGAGACTTCCTTCAGCTATCACCTACTATGTGCCTGGCTGGGCTCAGGGCTGGGGTTGGAGCCGTAAACATGGCACCTTGCTGGGATTGAGAGCTGAGGTCGCAGCTGCACTATTTTGATGCTGCCTTGTCAAGATGGAAAATTGCTTTGATTATCAAGAGAACTGTACAGCAGACATCCTGACACTTATTCCATCGTCCCCTCCCCCGCTCCAGTTACTATGGATTTTTCGTTTCTCCTTTATTCATTCTCTATTGCTTGATCTTTGCAGGATCACCCGGCTTTTATAATCAGCCACATACACACATACACTAAATCCGCATTGGCCCCTTTTCTCTCTCTTAAATAAGCCAAGCATGTGCTCACCCCAGGGCCTTTGCACTTGCTGTGCCCTCTGCCTAGAATGCTCTCCCCCAGAAGTCCCCATAGCTCACACCTCACCTTCTTCAGATCTTCACTCAAATGTCGCCTTCCCTATGAAGTCTTAGCTGACCAGCGTTTTAAAGCAACAAACCCATCTGTTGTTCTCTATCTACCTCTCCGACTTTATTTTTATCTACAGCACATACTACCAATTAACCCGCTCCATCTGCTGTTCATTTTTTTAATTCTTGCTTGGTCCCACTAGCGTGTTAGCACCACCAACAAAGGGACTTCTGTCCATCTTGTTCTTGGCTGCAACCCCAGTGTCAGGAACTGTGCCTAGAACACTGTAGGTGCTCAGGAAACATTGCTGGATGAATGAATGATTAAATATTTGCTATGATTATTGACTGATAAAAAGGTTGACCATTTGCTGGTTTAGGTGCTGCCTCAGAACGCCTCCTGGGCCAAGCCCTTCTCGGATGCTGCCGATGGGACTAGAGGTTGGGACCACCAGGCCAGTCAGCTAGCCCAGGTATTGGCGCCTGGCGCCTGTTCTGATTGGTCAGTGCTCAGCTTAAAGACCACACCTCCTCCCATTGGCCCCTTCAAAGTTAAGATTCTAAATGCATCAACCCGCTGACCCCACCATCCATGAACATTCTTGTGCAAAAGAGGTTCCTGGCAGATTTTTTTCACAACAGTGGGCGTACCTAGCACGGGTATGTGCACATACATACACACACAGTCAGGAATACACTTGCTCCCAATACACATTCAGACACACACTGTGCTTGAGATGCAGACCTGGAGATATACACACACACACCCCATGCACAATTAAAAACACACTCGTTTTGTCATTCACACTCCCAGACCCATGCTCACATGCCCGAGCATGTTGGTACATTCAGCAATAGACGTGTCTCCCTGTCCGGCACCCTCACTCACAGCACACAGATACCTACTCATTCACACCCACACTCAGTCACACACACATGCACACACACACTCATTCACCTTCTTAAAGCCATGCATTCACATGCTTAAACATCCCTACACAGTAAGCCAAATGCACACACAGTGGATACCCCACAGACACCCCAAGCCATGCTTCCTGGGGTGCCCACCCTTCCTGAAGCCCTAGGCCCCTGGGAGCCAGTCCTTGGCTGTGTTTAGAGGAGTAGAGATGGGCCACACACCCCTGGATCTCCCCACTCTGACCCCGAGCAGCCCCGAAGCCTCTTGGCGGGAACAAGCTGAGCCAGGGCCAGCTCCGTAAGCAGGGGGTGCGTGATGGCTGCATCGCCCTGACTGTGCCGCCTCAGGGCATGTCTGGCCGGCTCATCTGTGCCCAGGGCACCCGCCCACTTCCTCCCCATCAGAGGGCGGGCCGGCCTGCTGACATCAGGCGGTTTCTGGGCTGGTCTGGCACCTAGAACAGAGGAAGGAAGCAATGTGTTCCAGCCGTGGGGGCCGACCCTAGGAGCCGGGAACATGCCTGGCAGCTCGTGACCCAGCTCTGCTGAGGCTGGGTTGCCCGCCACTCCACCTTCCAGGGTCCCTGTGACCCAGGCTGGGACCACGGTTCAGGGGACTGGGCCCTCTGAAATGGCGCCCCTCCCTTCCCCCCCCACCCCCACCCCTCCACAGGTTGCGAGCTCCTTTCCTTCCATCCCTGAAAACAAGGACAGCAATTTTCTGTCCTAACGCGCCATGGATTATCTCTTTAAACCTTTAAAACACCAACCCTATGGCTAGGAGTTATCATCATTCTAGCTTCACTAGTAAAGAAACTGAGGCGCAGAGAGGTCAGGGGCTGCCCCAAGGAGCAGGGTCTGCCCCCCCCTGCACTGTGGCCTGGCTCCAGACGCCTCCCCTCAACCACACCACCCCCTCCCCAGCTTCTCTGTGCTGTTTTTCTGCTCGTGTCGTGAGCCTCCAACATCCATGGCCTCTGCACCTCACATCAACCCGAACTCCGGCAACAATCTCACGAGCTGGGCGCCAGTATTAGCTGTACCAGCATTATTAGCTGCATACCAGTATTAGCTCCAGTTAACATATGAGGAAACCGAGGTTTACGTGACCAGCCTGCGGCAGATAGCAAGGAAGAGGCACATTTGTGACCTGGGTCTGAGAGCTCTTTCTGCAGTACCAGGCCATCTCGCTCACGTACCAGAGGCCTTTGACTGGACCAGAGGCAGGGGAAGGAGGGCCAGGGGAGGTCTGAATGGTCATACAACAGAGAAATAACTATACATTTATGAAATGACAGCAAAATGTTTCTACCTTTTAAAATAAGTGGGAAATAATGGACATAGAACAACCTGCACAGATGGTGATGGGTTCTGTTCGATGACGTCCGACAGATGCACTCGAGAATCAACCACCTAAAACACGATACAAACCCCTCAAAGGCTGAGTTCCCTCCTGCTCCTTTCCCAGCCAGCCTCAGCCCCAGATGACCACAGGTCTCTGCACTGTCATCCTAGGTCATCCTGTTTCGCATCATAGGTCAGTTTTGTCCCACCTAGAGTTTCAAATAGAGGAAGTCACACAGTGTGTGCGCCTCTGCACACACTTCCTACACTCAGCGTAACACCTGCGAGGTCCACTGCGCCTCTGCAAGCGTCACTAGGGGTTCTTTCAAGGCGGAGAAGCGTCCCGCTGTGAAAACGCTTTTCTATCCGGCCTCCGGGGGGTGGGGCTGAGCTTCCGGTGACGGCGCAGGTCTGCGCACACTGGGCACCACGCGGAGCCAGGCTCAGCTCTGACCTGGGGTCCTTCACAGGCGCCGCATCTGGTCACCCCCAACCCCGGTCATTATCACGCTCCCCACTTGGGGGCAGGAGGAGCTGCAGGCTCAGGGTGAGAAATCCAAAGACGCAGGGCTCACGTCGGCCGAGGCAGATGAGCTACGCTGAGCAAGAGGCGGAGGGAGACGCGGGGATGGCGGGAGGCCTGGCCTGGAAGCGCATGCTTAGCGGAAGCCGAGCTGGAGCCCCAGCCGTGATGGCAGGGGCCTGCCCTGGTGAGGCACATCCTGGGCTCCCGGGCTTGTTCTAAGTACTCTGCGGGAACCAACCCATTCAGTCCTCTGTTACCCTTCTTGACAGTGGGGGAAACTGAGGCACAAGGCGACTGCGTCCTACCCCCAGGTCCCCACAGCTAGTGAGGCTGCTGCTGCTGCTAAGTGGCTTCACCTGTGTCCGGCTCTTGCGACCCCATAGACGGCAGCCCACCAGGCTCCCCCGTCCCTCGGATTCTCCAGGCAGGAACACTGGAGTGGGTTGCCATTTCCTTCTCCAATGCATGAAAGTGAAAAGGGAAAGTGAAGTCGCTCAGTTGTGTCCGACTCTTAGCGACCCCATGGACTGCAGCCTACCAGGCTCCTCCGACCGTGGGATTTTCCAGGCGAGAGGACTGGAGTGGGGTACCATGGGCTTCTCAGAGGACTAGTGAGGAGTGGGGCTGCGGTTGGACTCGGGTGGTCTAGCGCCACATGCTTCCCTTCACCACAAGTCTAAACCAGCCCAGCAGCCCTGCTCCTGTGTATTCAGGGCCCCTAGGCAGGCAGGCTCAGGGCCTGTCTCACCCGGAGGCGTTTCCTCTCCTGATCTCCATCTTCTTGCTCGCCGGTGAAGCTCCCTGGGCCTGGTCAGTTTAGGATCCAAGGGCCTGGTGCTGGGAATGCAGGCAACAGGAGGGACGGTCAAGAGTGGGACTCTAAAGCCAGCCTGTGAATCCCAGCTGTGCCATTTGCTGGCTGTGTGACCTTGGATCAGTCCCCTCCCTTCTCTGAACTTCCCTTTCCTTATCCATAAAGTCAAAGATGGTGACGAGGATAGTGACCTCACGAGGGTTCAGTGGGATGGGTGTGGAATCACTAGGTAGGTCGTATGAGCTGCTCAGTTGTGTCCGACTCTTTGCAGTCTCACGGACTGTCCTGGAACAAACATTTACCTGCTTTTTGCTACCTGCATGGGACCTCTCAATGCTTATTAACCCAAATTCACAGCAACCTTGCAAAGCAGATGCTGTTTAATTCCCACTTTACAGATGAAGAAACCAAGTCTCTAAATACCATCTCCATGCTAAAAATCTCCAAACATATACCTCCTGCCATGATGCCTCGCTTGAACTCAGGCCTGAATGTCCAGCTGTGACGGCACAGGCCTGATGGATGACTCAGCCTCCAGGTGAGAAACGGAACCTCTTCACCTCCCTGCGTGATCTCACCCCTGCTGCAGTCTTCTTCGCTTCAGAAAGAGCCCACCTCTGTCTTTCAAGGGACTCAGGCAAAAACCTGAGTGTCCTCACTGATTCCTCTGTTTCTCCAACCCTTTCTGCCCTACTTCACATCCATGAGCCTTCAGAAGGCATCCGGATCTGATCACGTCCCCCGCCTCCACAGCCCCACCCCGGCATGAGTCACCAGAAACTTGCTCGGAGGATTGTTCCAGAGTCCTCCAAACTATGTCCTCCATTCTGCTATTTCCCCCTACCTGAAGGAAGTCAGTTCACGGTTCTCCCATGCTCAACACCCTGCCACGGATCCCACGTCGCCCAGAGTGAAAGACGAGGTCCCGGGGGTGGCTCACAGGTCCCCACAGTTGAGCCTTGCCTTGCCTTCTGACAATGCCTCTCTGGCCACACCGCCCTGCCCCCTGCTCCTGGAACACATCAAGCACTCTTCAGCCCCAGGGCCTTTGCACTTGCTGTTCCCTCTGCCTAGGACTCCCTTCCCAAGGATAATTACATGGCTCCTCTCTAACCACCTTTGCTCAGAGGTGAATGTATCCAGGACCTTCCTTGACCACCCTGCTTACAGGAACAAGTCCCTTCATGAGCACAGCTTGGCACCCATCATCATGGGCACCCATCACCAGCTGACATGTGCAACCTTATTAATATTGTTAGTAGTAGTAGTTTGGAATATCTCTATCCACTGTGCCCCGCCAGTGTAGGACTGTTTCTGGGGAGTCGTTGCAGCAGCCTCATCACCTCCGGGACTCGTGCAGACTGCTTACTCATTAAATGTTTACTGAATGAGCAAATGGAGATCGGGGGGATTCACTGACTTCCTCGGGCCCCGGGTTAGGACAGGTTGGAACCAGCATTTGAACCCAGGTGTCTGAGTCCCAGGCTGTATTGCTAACCTCCCAGGGCCTGGTTCTACATCAGCACCCCAGAGATGGTGGCTGTCACTGTGATGATTTTTCTGGCAATAAGCCTATCCTTCCCCACCCGCAGGAGAAGGCTGGAGAGGGGGCAAAAGGGAGAGGTCAGGTCAGCTGTGTGGCCTCCAACCAGTAGGAGATGACTCATCAACCCCACGAGGACAGGTGACATTCCATCCTCGCCCCCGGGGGACTTTGGCCTGAGATAAAGGGAGCACCCTGCTTCTGGGAAAAGGAGGACAAACAAGTGGGAGAGGTGGCCGGGCCACTGCCTGGGGGGGTCGCCTGTCTGGGCTGGAGGGCCACAGGGTTCAGTCGTGAAGCGGGGGACAGCCCAGAATGACCCCTGAGCCTCCCTTCCGGGGTCAGAGACACAGCCTGAGCCCTCTTATCAGGAAAATGGAACTTTTTCTGTGCAGTCAGCACCCCAGCCTCCCCCTCAGGCGGTCAGGGGAAAGCCTCTTGGTGCATTTCCATTTCCCCTTGTCATTTTTTCCTGGGTCAGAAAAACCGGAGCCAACCGGCAAACGCATTTTGAAAAGGACCATCAAGGGGCCACAGAGTCTCTAACTGGAGGGGCTATATTTGATTTATATTTTAATTTTAAAAACTCCTAACTGGGGACTTCCCTGGTGGTTCAGTGGTTAAGAATCTGCCTTGCAACACTGGGGACTTGGGTTCGATCTCTGGTCAGGAAACTAAGATTTCACACGCCTCCAGGCAACTAAGCCCACACACCACTACTGAGACCCGACCCAGCCAAACAAAATAAATAAATAAATGTACACCTCCCGACTGAATGATGTGTGTGTGTGTATGTGTGCAAGTTGCTCAGTCGGGTCCTGCTCTGTGCAACCCCATGGACTGTATCCTGCCAGGCTCTTCTGTCCACGGAATTCTCCAGGTAAGAACACGGGAGTGGGTTATCATTTGCTTCGTCAGGGATCAAACCTGAGGCTCCTGCATTGCAGGCAGATTCTCTTACCATCCGAGCTACTAGGGAAGCCCCACAACTTAATAATACAAAGATAGCTCTGTTGCAAAAAGATTCAAGCAACACACTCTCTATGGTAAGTTAACTGTATCTCCAGGATTGGGTTTGGCTGCAAGTAACAAGTACCAGATTCCAGTGGCTTTGCTGGCTAGAGATTCTGTTTTCCTTGGGTAAAAAGAAGTCCAAAGGAGGACTTGTTCAGGGAGGTCACCAATGACCAGTTTCCTTGTCTCCCACTTCGGTGTGTGACTTTCAAACTCACGGCTACTTGACTGCCTGCCACGCTATGCTCAGCCCAGGAGGAGGGCAGAAAGGTGCAAGATCAGGGTCAAATCCTCCTCTTAGATGAAAGACATGGCGGCTTTGTCAGAGCCCCACCTGACTGATCTCCACTTAAATCTCACAGAGTCGGACACGACTTCAGGAGATCTTCCCAACCCAAGAATCGAACCCAGGTCTCCTGCATTGCAAGTGGATTCTTTACTAGCTGAGCTACCAGGAAAGCCGGCACATTTTCTACAGAATGTACTTGAAACAGTGGGCGTGTCCATTTAAAAGGTCAGGAAGTTTTCCCAAATCAACAGGAAGGTTTTGCCAGTTGACACTCCCTCCCACCATGTGTGAGAGGATCTGTCTCCCTCACACTCACCAGACAGGATATTATCACTTAAATATTTCCCTCTGTGTGGCTGGGAAAAAATTATTCACATTAAAATTTGCATTTCCCTGACTAGTTTTGAGGTGAAGCGCCTTATCGTTTATGTATTGGCTGTTTGTATTTTCTGACGTGCTCGTTTAAAAGTATCTGGCATTGTCTCTCACTAATTTGTTTCTTTCTTTTCTGATTGGTAGAAGTCCTTTTCTATTTGGCCTGCAGATTTATGTACAATAAACTGCATCCATTTAAGGTGCGCGGGCCTACTAAGTAAATTTAGTCGTGTGACTCTTTGTGACACCATGGAGTGTAGCCTGCCAGGCTCCTCTATCCAGGGGGTTCTCCAGGCGAGAATACTGGAGTGGGTTGCCGTTTCCTCTCCCAGGGGATCTTCCCGACCCAGGGATGGAGCCCACATCTCCTGTGACTTCTGTATTGGCAGGCAGGTACCTTACCACTAGCGCTGCCTGGGAAGCCCCCATTTAAGGCAGGGTTTCTCAATTCCAGTATTACTAACATTTGGGTCAGATAACTCTTTGTTTGAGTGATGGGAGGTGCTCTGTATTGCATTAATAGGACGTTTAGCAGCATCCTTGACCTCTGCCCCTAGATGCCAGTAGCACATCCCCACAGTCATGACAACCACAGAAGTGTCAGGACATTTCCAAATGTCTCTTGGGGGCAAAATGATACCCAGTTGAGAGCCTCCAATTTAAAAGTGTACGGTTGATGAGCTTTGATAGACATATGCACCCAAGAACCTACTAATACTTTGAAGAATTTTATATTTGGGTCGTAAATATTTCTCAGTCTGATGTTTGACTTCAGATCCAATACCTGCCTTTTTCTATTTGAGTGAACTT